TAAGTTGGTGACTTTCCATTCAACGATCGCACCGTCTTGCACCACGTAAAACGGTACGACCGTTCCACCAAAATTTTTCTTTAAGGGTATGTGTGAAATGTTGAGTCATCTGAGCCACCAGTGCGGCCCCCTCTGTGGCAATTTGGTACACAAAATACTTACTTCTACCCCTCATCTTTTGCTTATTTTACAAATTTGGTCAGCACAGTAATCTGACTCACTTGTTCATGGATTCTGTCATTACCTATTCTGTTTCTCTACATTTTTTTTTAACATTACTGGTTAAGAGTTCTTAATACTGTCGTGAGTTTTTACCCTGCTGATGATTTTGCCTTGTTCTAATTTATCGTAGCTGTACCTACAAAATTTAGCTACTGCATATAAAGAAAGGTAATTGAAATTTTCTCGAGCTTTTAATCTTGTGTTGAGATGGAGTCTTTCTTCTGTTGATCATCATAGTACGCTAGATGCCCATGCCATAGGCGGACACAACCAAGCTGATTTTATTATTTCCTAACTGGTTGGGATGATTGCCTTTCGGATTTATCTTTTGTGGGTGTTTAACACAATTAGATTTCATTTTATCATATATTAAATTGTCATGCAAGTAGCTACCATCTCTTGCCATTCTTTCAAGTAGAAGCTCCAATATTCTTTCAAAGGCTTTGATTTTTAGAGAATAGCTAATAGTAGGGATGAACATGATTCGATTTAGACGGTTTGTGCTATATTTTCAACTAAAATCATTTTTTGCGGTTTGAAATTTTTCCAAATCAAATCAAACAATAATTTGCAATTTTGTTCGATTTAATCCACGATTTATACCTATCGACATTATAGTAATATATTTAAAATAAGTTAACATATAAGTTTAAATGAGAACTAATAATATTAAATATTAAATTACATTCACATTTACCATGAAAACCATGAATAAATTATTTTCAAAATTGATTGTTAAAATATGTTAATAAAACAAATACACTTTTCTTCATTTTTATTTACATTTTTTTGTTTGACATTCATATTGTTATATAGCGATTGGTAATTGTAAAGTTACATTCTGTTAAAACTCATTTTTTCTTGCTAATGAGATATTAAATAAGGATTGAACGTGATATGTTTAGATGTACAAAGATTGATAGAATTTCAATTTATTAGGAATTGACGAATTTCATTCTCTAATTACTTTATGAAAGTAGAAGATAGTAATATTAGTTAGGAAACTTTAACATTTTCACATAATCAATACACTACATCCTTCATTTTTTCCAAACTACAAACAAGTTCATTGATCATCTAAGCAAGCAAATTGTCATTTTTCTATTCAAAACACAACTCAGAAGTGTATAATAACTTAAAAAACAACACATAAAAGAAAAAACAACGAAAAAATGGTTTGAATTTGAGACTTATCAAAAGAAAAGAGAGAAATGGGTGATTCAAGTAGAAATTAGTAGACTAACAGGCAAATGCGACTGATGATTCAATGACAGACAATCGTCAAATGTTAGGGAAATGAGAGTTTATGTTAAGGCTTCTAAAACTTTGGACGTGATTTGCTAACGTAATTTTGTTGAATTATGATTTGGATTATTGAAAATATATATATTTCATTTCATATGATTTTAAAATAATTTTAGTTTAGATATCGGGTGAGGACATGTATTGTGAATTTGGTAAATAATATGTCAATAATAATGAACCTAATTTATTTTCTATGATTATTTCAATAAGTTGGTTCTAATTTGTATTGCTAAATTGGTGTTTTTTCTGAAGAGTAAAAACTGTAAAATTTTTAAGTTAATAAAATTAATATTTTAATTAAAAATAAAGAATTGTTCAGTTCGATTTTGTGCGATTTTTGAAAATCAAAATTTAAACCAAACCATTTTGAAATGGTTTGGTTCAATTTGAGGGGGGGAAAATCGTATGTCCACGTGAACCTAAACCAACGGTTTCAACTTAACGATTTCGATTCAGTTTGCGATTTCACAATTTTTTTGGACAGCCCTAACTTATAGTTCTCCAACTCCTATGACGGTGAAGGTTATCATGTGCATGGAGAGATTTTACATGTAAGATGTGGAGGGATACAAAAAATTGGATGAATGTAATATAAGTAATTAGTTATTCATGTTAAATATATGAGTTTCTATTTAACTATTATTACTTTATTCATTATTTTTTACACGGCTTTAAAAATAAAAAATAAAAATAATAAAAGAAAAAACAATTAAATGAAGTCTAAATGAAAGTGGTTCGAGCATATTCACATTTTTTTAGGTGGATAATTTATTGTAATGTCCACTATTTTTTATCAATCAATGTAATATCGGCTTTTTTTTTTTTTTTTTTTTT